GTTCTTGCTAGAGTATTGCTTAGAAAAACTATTTGCCTTCAAGTACTGGAAGTTACTTTCTCTTMAACTACCGAACTTCACTTTCTAGAACGAATTAGAGGAAGGGCGACTCTTTAATGCCCTAAGTAAACACAGAGCCCTCTCGGTGTTCTTAGTGAACTATGTGACCAACAGTGTCTCACAGTTTAAACCATGGCCATGAAGCACAGTGAAGGTGTTTCTGTTTACAGAAATGGACATCTTCAAACCCCCACAAGGTAAGCACAGGCATCTTTTAGTGGAAGATACATTCATTTAATAGCAGATACATATATGCATTCATATAATAGGATATACACACTAGCAGCTGTGTAAATATCACTACTTTGAGGTGTTAGATGAATGACAGTGGGAAAGGGCTCTGTTACTCTCTCTAAAAAGGGATTTAGCTGCAAATAACCCAATTTAACTTTCTCTTCAAATCTTTGCCATTCATAAATGTAGTGCTGTGCTAAAAGCACAAGCATCACCACTAGTTCTATCCTGAACACCTAGAGTCCAGTATCGGAGGAGCTATGTGACTTCACTTTGCTATTCTTCAGAATGACTCCTCTTTGGCAAAAAGGGTAAAGGCACCTGATGGCTGAGGCATCTCAATGAAAGAATAAAGATTAAGCAGTAAAATGCAGGAGAAGCCATCTCAAACAGTTCAAATACTTGACATCCTCAGAGCTATCTTAGGAGCCGTAGCCGATGCACTTCCAGGTTTCTGAGGACTGCAAAATACAGGAAGAGGGTGCCTTTAATTGTACCAACTATTCAGTACCAACTGAAATCGTTCCATGCAAAAAAGAACTTAAAAACCTTAGCCTAGGGAGGAAAATGATATCCAGTCCCTACTTAGTCATATTGGTTCATAGTTCTAATATGAGGAACACCATGTTATTCACCCCTCTTGAGAGTCTGAGAGAGAGAAATCCTGATTATTCTTCGAAGCAGAACTCTGGATGTCTCGTAGGTTTGTCTGCAGCTGTATCCTCTACTCTAGCGTCTGTAATCTAACATCTTAAAGGGATGCTTAAGATTCCAAGTACAAAAATGATCTATTTTAAAGACAACATCAAGCTTATTTTTCTTTTCTGATTTTAGAGTATACTTTAGAATATATATATATATATATATATATAAAATAACTGCAACCTATGACGTTATGTTTACAGGGCCTCATTAAGCTTATGTAAGGCATGTTCTCCTGGCACCAAAGTTTTGTTTGGAGTTAATCTTCCATAGATTGACAGTATAATCTGAGAGATTTAGGAAGGTAATAGGCAGAAGAAGTATTACAGTGCTTAGCTGAATAATAGGTTTTGAACTTGGTTAAATCAAAGTATACATAGTAAAAGCACATTCTTCAAATTCTTCAGTATCCCAGTAGAACTTCAAGTTTCTTGTGGAAGGAAATCTAGCACACAAGGCTTCCCTTCTCAAATCCAAATAGTTAAAGCACTAAAATGATGTGCCTTGTTCACATCCAGAAATCTTTCTTTGACAATGTGTTCATCAAGACAGCACAATGGTGATTATTAGAACATATTTATATTCTATGTACTTTAAAAAGCAATGGCACAGAGATCTACTGTGAGCACTATTACTTTTTGTCAGAAAGCTGTAGAGAACACGATACTTTTGATTGCAACAGCCTTATACTGCATAAATAAAGAATCTGGTGTGTTAACAGAGTAATCTCTACATTAAACACAAAGTCATTGACAGAGGAACGAGTCAGATAAAAAAAAAAGGTGTTCAAATCAAGCAGTACATTTTCTAGTGTTCTGATCAAGTAGTCCATTTTCTGGAATGAAAGAAAATGAGGACACCAAGTAGCATTTAAGTACGATTTCCCATACTCTTTATAAAGGTATTACAGGGTTAGCTAGAAAAGGAGTTCTGTATTGGCAAGCTACTTTCCTAGGAGGATAGGCCAATTGGTGGAAAACTTTCCCATCATTAAGCTGATGTCTTTATATAGAAAGATTTATCTTTTACTTTCAACAGATCTTGTTGCCTAACTTGCAAAGAGGAATGCAAACATTCCTGCTCAATGATAATTCTGTTTCCATATTCCCTTGCCCACAGATTTGTTTTCCTAGTTTCTGCACTAGTTCCTTCAGAAACATACAAGAAGTCCCCTCCAGAAACTTTTACTCATACAATGAGTACACCGAAAACAGTGTTTTGAAACAGATAAAACTTACTTTTGATATACTCTAACTAGGCTAATGTAATTTTATTTTTTTTTAATACCATTCGGTTCACTTATCATCCTTTGCCTTGGAAATTATATAGTTTAAAGTTCATACACAGGAGAGTCACTGGTGATCCTGAACAAGCAACTTGCAATACAGCAGTTGTATTTTAAGAAGGATGTATTTTAGCAGAAGCAATAAGCTGTGTGCTTCTGTTCTCCCAGTCACTGCCATTCATACGTTTTTGTAGAAGCAAAACAATTTAGAACCAGGAA